TTTTTTTTTTTTTTTCTTTTTCCTTCTCTCCTAGGGGCTACACAATGGCAGACTTCTCTCAGTAAGATGAACCCTGCTTTGGTTTCTGCAGATCCTCCCATCCTCATAAAGATCAAGTAAAAGGATATGCTATCCTCTTTGGGGATCTTTTGTGCATTACTGTTCTCCCTGATTAGTTTTGGCCTCAGTTGGGATTTCTTTGCTTTTTTGTTTGGCTTCATGCTGAAAAAGGATTTTTTCTCCAACCCTTCAGTAATCATCCAGTGGTGAACAAGGGGGATAAATCATTCACCCTGGCCGAAAACAAACAATCACTGAGAAGTCTCAAAGAAATACACCACGTGAGGGGAAAAAACTGGGAGAAGATTCGGAATATTATCGTCTTTCCTATGGTCAAACCGGTGCCCCTCTTCAGGAGAACTGATTTCAAATTATTATGCAGCTACAAGGATCTCTTCTATCTCAGGGTGTCTAAGCTGCTGGATTGCTTTTCGCCCAAATCAATGTGGTTTCTTTGGAACATTTTCAGCAAAAGAACGCATATGCTGCAGTGTCTTTGTGGCAAGAGTCTTAAGAAAAACAAGAACCCAACTGGTAAGCAAAACATGTACCATGTTATGTCTTTCCTCATAATAACCTGTCTGTTGCTCATTGAGCTAGATCTGCAGTTCTGCTATGCAGGAAGGCAGGGAAACATAAAAAGAAACCAGGACAGTGTTGTATATAGACGCGTTGCATGAATAAACAAGTAACAGCTGGATCAGCGTCTATGAACCTGAATACAGTTATTGGCATCTCTTGTCTCTGACACAATCCATCACTAGGAGGGAGGAGAAACTTTTTTTTTTTCAGTATTGGGTTGCCTATGTCTGGTGGAATATTCAAGGGCTATGGCTTAGGGTTTCTGCCAAAGCTGAAGCTTTGGTACTTGTTAGTAAGAAGAACGGGAGTTTTCCTGACTTCTGCTGCAGGTTGGGAGACAGAGCTCCATGCTAAGAACCTGCTCTGGACTTTCTGATTAGCTTGCACAATATTCACCACCCTAACCCCCTTTACCGAAGTAAAAGAAGCCCCCTCCCTCATGTCCCAGCTCCTCCGTCAGCCCCCGCCTGCCTCCCCCGTCTAGCTCTCTGTACCCATGTATTAACTCTTCCCCATCGGCCTCTGACACATCCTACCACTGGGACCACTAAAGCTGGGTTTATGCTTGGAGGGAAACCCAGACGGAATATATATAATTTAAATTCTCCTAAAAAAAAAAAAAGGGTCCCCAAACCGTGGTCCAGGTCCCATGGGTGCGGTGAGCCAGACCCGTATGTCCCTTCTTTAGGGTGCGGATGATCATGCGCCCAGATTCCAAAGGGCTCCAACAGGGAAACTTGCAGTACATTACATAAGAAATGCAAATGCAGGTGATTCAGGGGAGTCGGATCGTAGGGGTTCACTCTCGGTATCTCAGTCTGAAGCGTTGGGGGCAGCCTCATAGTGGTGGACAAATGACTGGGGGAAGGGAAGGCAGGAGGGCTGCGTGGCGGTGGCGGTGGCCGTGGTGGCGGCGGCAGCGCGGGCGAGGAGACTGGGCACAGTCTTTTTCGAAGCCCTTACTGGTAGAAGCTGGTGTGTGCAGCCCCCGGGCTGCGTCCAGGGTGTGGTGGTGGGGAGACCTGGAGCCCATTGTTTGTGTTTGGGGCTCTGTTGGGGTCAGGAGACGGTAGCCCCGCCGTCCTGCAGTGGCAGGCTGAGCACTAGAGGCTCCTGACGCTGGCTGGCACTGCGGTGTAGTAGATCACCGCGCTCCACGGCGACACTCGGAGCCCAGCGGGGGCCGCTCTGGCACCCTAGCCCCGGCGAACCGGCAGCAAGTGGCTGTTGCCTCCCATCCTCCCAGCCTTCGGAAAGCACCAGTAACTCGGGTGGTGCGCTCAGCGGGGGCGCCTGCGGGTGCAGCGGGAGGGAGGCTAGGAGGTGTAGGTGGGCGGGGATGGAGGCGGTGGCGTGCAGCCTGAGCGCCCTTTGCGTCCACCACTTCTGCAGCACCAGGGAAGCTCCGAGTTGTCAGACCGTCCAAAAGGGCAGAATCTCGCTTGCTCAGGCCTTGACTACAGCCAGGAGTTGGGACTTTGGGCTGGCTCTTGAGACTTCTGGAAGTAGCTACTGGCTGTCCGCGAGCTCGGTGCTGCAGTGAGGCTTTTTGCCTTGGTTCTGGGATTCTCATTTCTGTGCTCTAGTTTTCTTCTTTCTAACCATTCTCACCCACTTTCTAACCGTTCTCTTCTGTTCCCTCCTCTTCAGTCCCCTGTCGTTTGACCCTTCTCTCTGACCTCTCAGCTTTAAGGTGGTGGTATCCTTTCAGAGATGCCAAAGAATTACCCAAGGAGAAAGCAATGTTATCCCTGTTCGATTTGCATTTCTAGTTAACTGTGAGGTGAACCCAGTAGTCTGGTACCAAACTTAACATTTACTTGCTCATGCATTTGTCATAAAAACCCAATGTGCATCTACAACACGACTTTAAAGCTGAATGTGAAGACCCTTTTGTAAGATTTCTAAAAGTGGAACAAGCAAGGGTTGCAGTTGGAAGGGAGGGGTTATTCTTTCACAGGATCCAAACGTTGGGTTTTGACGTGTTCGTGAATGTTTCTGTGAAGAGAGCTAGCTCATTCTGAGAAACAATTCAGTTATAACACTTTCTATAAAGACTTGGCCATTTGTCTAGTTAGGTTTTTTTTTTGGGGGGGGAGGAGGGGAGTCTAGTGACTTTGAAGTCAGTCCTTCCCTTGTCCTGTAGGAAGTAATTCGGCACAGAATAGTACATTTCTTTGCTGGACTTTATTTTTCTTAAATTTTTTCTGTAAACAATTTTATTGGAAACATTGATTTCCTCCTACACACAATTCAAGATCTTTTTATTACACCTTCCCTACCTCACCCACTTTAATCTCTCTGGGAAAAAAAAATAGGTTTTTTTGTTTTTTTTTTTCTTTCTATCAAGGTATTTCAAAAGGTGTCAAACAAATGACAAATTACTCTTAGAATAATTTTATTTAGCAGTTTATGGATGTTAAAGTGTTTGCATGTGAATTGATGAGTTAAAGTGTATCTTAACATCAGCAACTATTTTTAATAGATTAGTTTTAGTTTAAGATTGCCAGAGATTAGAATTCCAATTTGGGAGTTGGACCATTTAGTAAATATTTCTTAAATGATAAATTAATGTGTCATGCTCTTTGTTTCACCTTCTAAAAGCTTTTGCCTCTCAAGATTGAACCAAATTCATTCCTGGTCATCCTCTTTTCAGTACTGTGCTTTGTGGGATCCATTCTCCTGCAGCTATTAAGATGAAGCCTAAAATCACTGGCAGGTTTCTGATCCCAAGGTTGCAGTACAGCTAAGACTTTAATTGGGTAATTAAAAATAAAACAAAGACTAAACTCCTCTTAACTGCTAAAATAAAAAAGAACAGATTGACTACTATCTATTATGGTATTTTAAATCTAAAAAGAGGCCAATTAACTGGTTTCAAACTAAGATTCTTAGTAGAATACTGCCAAGTATTAGTGCTATGATCATTTGATGTAAAGCATCTCCTATTACTTCAAAGATAAATATTAGATTAATTTTTCTTCCTGTTCTTTAAAAGTTATGGAAGAATTTACCAGCTAATCTCAATTCTTTGAATTGTCAACCAAAATGGGTAGTTAGGACAAGGGTACCTGGGAAGAAGTCTAGAACATTGCTATATGATCAGGCTGGAATGAAAATAATCAGATTATAGAGCTGTGGATTTAAGGACAGAAGTATTCATCCATCCAAAAGTTACTAATTAGTTTCAAACTACTTATATAACAGGTGTTTGAGAGTTGTGTTTGATAGTTTTTTTAAAATGTAGTTTAACTGGAAACTGGAAAAGAACTTGAAGAATATATTTGTATGATATATACTTATGCAAGCATAATTGCAATAGTTTTATAAATCACTGAATATAAATTCAGTGTCTTCATAAAATCTTCTGATATCTTACAGTTACAGTTCACACACACACACACAAAAACGTTGTAATGCCCTAGTTTCTCCTATTTTGCTATCAGAGCAATAACTGTGCACATAGACTGTTACCTACTTCAAATTTCACTGTATGAGTCATTCGAGGTAACTGTATTTTAGGCAAATCATTAAATAGGGAATATACTAAGCGAAGGAACTTACTTTGCCTGGAGGAGGGTTTGAATTGTTATTTTAAAAATCAGTAATGATAGCTTGGACTGACCACTGCAAATAGCAGGTTAGTTTGGGGAATAATCTAGGTCACTTAACCTGGAGCAAAGGGGGCACTAAGGAAAGAAATGTGGTTGAAAAAGTTTAGTAAAGATAAATACTAAGGTCTTACCTCTTCAAATAGATAATGTAAAATAAGTAAAAGAAGTCACACATTCTTAGATATGTACATCTAGTCAATCATACAAGAAACCTCCGAGCTCCATGGCTTGGCAGGATTTTGAAAAGCACAGGTTTTGAATACAAGTTGCAATCTAAGAGAATTTTATTGAGTTAAAGATGTTAGTGGCAAAACAGGGTGAAGTGATGCCCTAGACCTAGTTCTGAAGAGCACATTTAGAAAATTCTGCAAAGTCGCAAAGTCTGAGTACTTCCTTTTCTGAACTCAGTCTCTCTCTCTCTGCCATGGAACTGTGAGGTGGAAGAAATAGGATTGATTTTCTGATGGTTTTGATGCCTTTTAGCTCTACTTTTGCCTTTCACTATGCAGTTTTATGTGCCCCGAATGCCAGGCATACAGCTGTTAGTCATATAAATAATGGTTTATTTATTTATTTATTTTTTAGCTACTTCACATGAGGGATGTCATGACATTTTTTTTTTTTTTTAAGTTAGAAAATAGAGAAAGAAGGAAGAAAAAATGTTTTATTAGAGCTGATTTAAGCCCAAAATGGACCACAACCCTGCATTTCTAAACACTTTGAGTATATATTAGATAACGTCAACACATTCAGACTCTTGCCTAGAGCACCAAATAGGTGTAAGACTTGGCTCTTTCCAACATGCTTGGCTATTACGTAGGATTCACTGTCACATGAGTTGGTCTTGGATTCCATCCAGGAAGGTTTAGTGACTGAAGTAGCAGAATTACTTTTACAGAGTAGTGCCAGACTGTGAATCACAGAATAGTCAGTACTTCTCAAGTACTTTACTCATTGGGAATGGATTTTTCTCTTTTGAAATTTATATTCAAGTTAAGAAATGTGGGATTCAATGCATGATGATCTAAATTTTGGTTTAACAATGAAGATGACTTTGGTTGTACTCATAATTCAACCTGTTCTCATCTCAAACACCAATAACTGAGAGTATTCTTTCAAATGATGCTTTCAGAAGGTGATAAAGCAGATTCCATACTGTATTTCATATTTACCACACCGAACCATTCCTTTAAAAATGTTCAAACCAAGTCTTCCATGTTTTAGCAACACAAACATTGGAAACTTTCATTAACTGTTTTTATAAGGACACCAATGTTTTCGCTCCTTTGCACATTTTGGCATCATACCTCACTCAAATTGACTCATAAGCTGTCTATA